TTATTTATTTCTAGGAGAGAGAGAGAGACAGTGTGAGCAGGGGAGGGTCAGAGAGAGAGGGAGTCACAGACTGAAACAGGCTCCAGGCTCTGAGCTGGCAGTCAGCACAGAGCCCGACGCGGGGCTCGAACCCACGAACCACGAGGTCATGACCTAAGCGAAAGTCGGACGCTTAACCGACTAAGCCACCCAGGCGCCCCATTGTTGCGCTTTTCAACCCAGGCCAGTCCCAGCCTCCAAATCCCAGGCCAAGCACCCCGCTGAAATTGCCTCAGGCAATCCCCTGGCAACCCCTCAGGGCAATTCCAAGCCTCCTGGCTAGCTCTGGGGGTGGAGCCAGAAGCCGCTGCTTCCTTCTCCTCCAGGTCGGGCTGGGGAGCCTGGGTGGGGCAGGGGCCTTGTCTGCAGGCGCACTGAGCCCGCTGGAGTGAGGAAATCAAGTTCCCTCTGTGTCTCGTCACCCAAAACATGAACTCGTGGTCACATCTGCCAGTTTTTAGCTCTTTGCCTTCCCTCTAGAGCTCCAGCCAGCTAGGAGCACAGACACTGGTGACTGCACGAGGCTCCTCCAGGGGTCCAAGCCTACCAGGAGGGCAATGCTGGTAGGCACGCAGCTTCTCCCAGACAGCCAGTAGCCAGCACAAAGAAGCAAACCTCGAGCGCAGCCCCTCCGGGGCGAGTTGGAGCGTGGGGGCATGGTGCGCAGCTTTTTTGTGCTCAAGGTCTTTCTACGTCCCTAGCAAAGGTTTTTCACCCGAGCGGAGGTTTTTCTGTTTCACTCTCTTTTTCCCCTCTCACTCACCACAGAGGGGGGTCACCCCGTCCCTCCAGTCTCCAATCCAGGCCCGATTTTATCTTCCCCAGTTTGCACTCACGTTAGAAGGCTTTCTCAGTGGAATCTACATCCTTTTTCTCCCAATCTCTTGGGTTTGGTATGGTTTCCTATGGCTTCAGATCTTTTCCGTGTGAGGCATGGGCGCAAGTGCAGGTAGGGCGCTCCCTACTTCTCCGCCATCTTATCCCTCCCTCCCCATTATTTTTCTTAACATTTTAAAAGTTTTAATTATTTTTAAGTTTTTTTAAAGTTTTATTTTTAAGTTTTAATTTAAATCTAGTTAAGTAACCTATAGTGTAATATTAGTTTCAGGTATACATTTTAGTTATTCAAAATTTACCTACAACACTCTATACTCATTACAAGTGCTCTCTTTAATCCTCATCACTTATTTTACCCATCCCCCCATCTCCCCTCTGGTAACCATCAGTTTGTTTTCTATAATTAAGAGTCTGCTTCTTGGTTTGTCTTTCACTCTCTTTTTTACCATTGCTCCTTTGTTTGGATTCTTAATTTCCACATATGAGTGAAATCATATGCTATTTTTATTTCTCTGACTTATTTCACTTAGCATAATATTTTCTAGCCACATCCATATTGTTGCAAATGGCTAGATTTCATTGGTTTTTATGGCTGAATAGTGTTCCATTATTTACCCATTATCTATCTGTCTATCTATCTATCTATCTATTATCTATCTATCTATCTATCTATCTATCATCTATCATCTCTCTCTCTCTTCTTTATCCATTCATCAATCAATGGGCCCCTGCGCTGCTTCCATATCTTGGTTATTGTAATAATGCTGTTATAAACATTAAGGTGCATGTATCCCTTTGAATTAGTTTTCTTTTATTCTTTGAATAAATACGCAGTAGTGTGATTGCTGGATCATAAGGTAGTTCTAGTTTTAATTTTTTGAGGACCTTTCATACTGTTTTCCAGAGTAGCTGCATCAGTTTGCATTCTAACCAACAGTGCAAGAGGGTTCCCACATCCTCCCTGACACCTGTTGTTTCTTGCGTTTTTGATTTTACCTATTCTGACAAGTGTGAGGTGATATCTCATTGTAGTTTTAATTTGGATTTCCATGATGAGGAGTGATGTTGAGCATCTTTTCATCTGTCTTTTTGGCCATCTGGATGAAGACATTAATTGTCTTCTGAACAAGACTATAGTTTTTATTGTAACAGGTAGCCAAGCATATTTTAATAAGCTCAAAAATGAACTTATTTGATTTGTTAGAGAAACAATTGCAATAGATGGCCAAATGCCCTATATAGAATCATATAAAATAAATTGTGTGCTGGTGCTTATGTATTGAGAGCCAGTTGTGGATATTTCTTCCCACATCCATCAATAATGTCACACCAATGGCTTGAAATCAGCCACAGTGGTAGTATTTACACCATGGAAATAAACAAATGCTACAGCCTCTTTTCCAGAAACCCAGTTATTTAGTGCTTATCTGATACCACTGCATTCCTTTATTATTGTCTCTATATGTTACTCTATTGCATTAGGTGTCCTGTCTCTATAGTTTCCTTCAATCTGAAATAATTACTTAGTCTTGCCTTGTTTTTAATGACCTGACATTTTTTAACAGTATCAGCCAGCTTGTCTATTTCTTCATGATTTATGAATTTTGGGGACAAGAATACGTCAAAATTGATGCTGTTGTTTTCTTTTCACTGCTTTGCATCAGGAAACATGGTATAAATTTATGTCATATCTAGTGATGTTAACTCTTGTCACTCTGTTAATGTGGTGTCTCCCTGTCTCCTCTACTGTAAAGTTGATAAGTGTTTTTGTGCTTCTAAATTAATAAGTAATTACTATTTTGTCGGAAATACTTTGAAACTTCTGTTGTAGAGTAGAACTTTCTCTTTCTCCCTATTTGGATATTCATTTATTTATGTCTATCAGTGTAATATACATATGCTTAGATTCCTATTTTTATTTATCTGTAAGGTCCATTAATTACTGTGATGTTCAAATTTGGCTAATGGAATTCCTTTAAGCTGACTTTTCTGTCAAATTGACATCTCCTCTTCATTCTTTGAGTACTTCCTTGCTTTCTAGTACAAGATCTTTCAGGCTAATTCTGGTATATTTTTTTCAACACCAAGCTTTTAATTTTGACATTACATACCTAGAGATCGTATTATATTCCACAAGTTAAGGACTCAGTCCTGTAAGACTGCCTCTTATTTCATATACCCTTGCAAGTCCAGGTTGTTACCCATACTTCTGACAGCTATAAATTGGAGGTCCCCACAACGTTCAGAGGTTTCAGAATTTGCTATAGCACCCCACAGAGCTCAGGAAAACAGTTTACTTACTAGATTACTGGTTTATTATAATCCAGGAACAGCCAAAGGAAGAGACGCAAAAAGCAAGGAATGGGGTAAGGGTGCAAAGCTTCCATGCTTTCTGGGTGCACCACTCTCTCTGCCTCTCCAAGAGTTCACCAATCTGGAAGCTCATTGAACCTGGTCCTTTTGAGTTTATGTAGGCTTCATTACATATACTCTATTAAGTCATTGGCAATACTGGTGATTGCACTTAATCTCCAGTCTCTCTTTACCATCTGAGTTCAGAGGCAGAAGATGGGAGGTGGGTCTAAGTTTTAACCTTTTAATCAGGTTATCAGGTTCCTCTGATAATCTGCCCCATCATTAGGGGGCTTTCCAAAAAGTGCTTGTTATGAATATCAAAAGCCACCCTTATAGCTCTTACCATTTAGGAACTTCTAAGAGTGTTAGGAGCTCTTTGCAAGAGTCTAAGAGGAAGAACAAATATGTAATTTGAATTAATCATAATATCACATCTAGCTTGTGTTTTCCTTGCCTCAGCCCTGGAGTCCACCATTTCTCAAAGGAACCTTAATTTCTTTTAGTGGGAAGCAGTACCAAACACTAAATTCTGGATGGTAGGTGTGTTCACTGGTACTGGAGTGTTATTGTTTCTAAGCTGTCAGACCTGACAGAGCTAGGAACTATATGCATGCAGACACACATCTGTCTATCTATTTATCTATCTATCTATCTACCTACCTATCATCTATCTACTTATCATATGTGTGTGTACCCTATATATCTGTACATAGTAAAAAGCATGAGTTCCCAGAGTTACTCTTTCATTTTCTTCTTTCCTCTTCCTGTATTTTTGAATTTATTTTCTGACTGAGTAACTTCTCAGCACATTTAGAGAATTTTATTTGCTCCTTGTTGATCAATTCTTGTCATTATTCATTTTAATTCTCAAACTGTCCATATCTGTCCAGTGGAGCCTTTCCATCCTAGCTCCTATGTCCCCATCAGTTTCTGAGCAGATTTGAATACAAGATATTCCAGATTCACCTGTACTTTCTCTGCTCCAACCCGGAATCAGCCATTTCTCCAAGTTCATTTCAGTGGGAAACGGCATTTAACACTGGGATCTAAGCCCAATAAGTTAACTCAATGCTTATGAGGTGTCATTGCTTCTAGAATTTTAGAACTAGAAAACATATATAAAGTATAAAAAATATATAAGCTAAACAATACTTCTTATCCAATCCAGTAATGTTTCCTTCCATCTTTCTTCCATTCCAGTTTCTTTCTGGTCTTCCACAGCACATACTGTAGCTACTGACAACATGATTTTATTGTTACTCATTTTCTTAGTTTTACCATACACACAAACAAGCTTTGGAATTGCCTCTTTTTCTTAAAGAAAATCATATATAGGGGTGTGTGTGTGTGTGTATGTGTATATATGTGTATATATATGTGTGTGTATATATGTATATATGTGTATACACACGTATAGGCAAAGGTTCCTCTTTTTGTTCTCTTTCTGCTGTGCTGAGTCTTTAGCCTTTGCTAACATTTTTGTGATGTCAGCCTTTGCTTCCTCCACTGTAGAAGCAGGAAAGCAAATCCCAGCCAGGTATCCAAGAAGCCACTGAAGACCCAGATCTTCAGGCAAGAGAGTGCCTCACCACAGGCCCAGGGTGGGATCTGAAGGTTCATAAGGCTGTAACCAGGTGTCATGGTTATCCTCTTCCAGGCGTCGTGTCCCTCTAATAGGTAATGGGCAGATAGTGAGGGGATCTGAGTGTTCACCACCGTCATGAGCTCTGGGCCGGAAATACGCACAAAGTGTCCCTGAGAAGGTGTCGGTGAAGGTGAAGATGTGGGAGCCATCCGACACATTGAAGAAGGACAGTTTTCCTGCCTCCCAGTCCAGGAAGATGCCCACACGTCGGGGCGGCACGCGCAGAGTGAGGGCAATGCGGTGTGGGTCCAGGACGAAGTACTCACAGTGGTTCCACAGCCCCATCACCCAATAGCCGTTGGCCGGGCTTAAGAGCACAGGCCCCAAGCGTGGCACTGCAGCCAGACACACACCGAGGAACCAGCGGCTGCGCCGTCCCACAAACACTTCCCAGTAGTGGCGGCCAGCCGAGAAGCGCTCACAGCTCAGCACGCACGTCTGCTCAGAGAACCTCTGCGGGTCCCCAGCCACAGAACCGGACACTGCTGCGCAGGAAGACACGCTCTTCCCATCCTCGGAGACCTCCAGGCTGAGGTGCGCTGAGGCCGGATCAAGGGTTAGATCCACTGTGTGGAGGCACGGGGTTAGGGCCTGTGAAGGACAGCTCTGGGCCCTGCCTGTTCCCTTCCCTGACAGGTAAACCGTAGTGCTCCTGGTAATCATTCCCACCCTGAAACCATCCCTGTTTACTGAAGCAGCTTGCAAGTCACTCCTAAACACCTGAAAGCCTTAGGAGGAATCATATTTCTTTCCTGAACTAAAGTTTCTTGAATGCCATACTAGGTGCCATGGAGAGCAGAGATAGATTTGTGGGGATAGAGGCAAGCTCACTTTCCCCACCTCCTGGTCAAGGGGAAGGGGCTCCTGGCTGGTTCAATTCTGGACTGATGTCACCACCCTGTGTGACCTTCAGATAATCATGTGAACTCTGAGTCTCGGTTTTATAACAATATCAGGATTTTAAAGCTGAAAGGGACATCTGAGGTAATCTGGTCCAGTGCCCTACACGCCAACACCTCACTCCTCAAATCACACCCATTTGATAGGTAAGAACCTCAAGGATCTCTTCTTTCAGATGAGAAGTTCTTACAAACAGGCCCTAGCAGCCTTCCTGCCAGATGAAAACAAACCTGACAAAACACAGAAAATGATGTGCTTTTAAAGGAGGAGGTATACGCACACAAAAAAGTGCATGTGTGAGTATAGCCAGATGTGCACATGCAGGCATATCTGCCATGTTGTATACGTGCAAATGTAGGCTTATGCTATGTGTCTGTGTGTGCAGCCTCCATACTTGGCTCTTGGACAGACCTTTCCTCTAATCTCAGATCTCTCCACCTCCTTTCTGTTTAAAATTCTGCCAATCCAATCACAAGTTACAGTCCCTTGACTTCAGTTACCTGCATATTGTTGGGCTGCTCTCCACTCTGAAACCAAGCAGAAAGGAAAACATGTTTAGAGATTTGAGTCAGTAGCTCTGGAATGTTGAGGAAGACTCAAGATGCATTAGGTATGACACAAACCCAATGATCTCCTTCCCACCATGACAGGTAGTTTGAGTCCAGACTGGTCTGGGTTCACCATGGCACTTCTCTGGGAATTGAGAACTGGGCAGGTGTCTGGAGTCAGTGCTGGGTTATATCAAATCTGTATGCAGTCTAACCTTGCACTGAGAAGGAGAGGAAAACAAAGCATGTGGGCAAAGAGAAACAATACAGGTGACTGAGATGCCCTGAAAGTTGCACATGAAGCTTCAGTCTGATCAGCAGGCTCAGTCCAAGGAGACCTGAATGAACATGGCTCCTGTCCTAAAATGTCCTTTAGACATTCTGTCTTCACTACTTTCTGAATATGAACCATTCTGACTGGATTTCTATTTTGTTTTATTTTATTTTGCTTTACAGCAAGAAATCAACAAGTCACAAAATAGCAAAATAGCAGGGCCTTTCAAACCTGGTTTTACATCAGAATAACTAGCAGAACTTTAAAAACATATAGCTCTTGCATTGAATAACTCAATTTTATAAAGATGTTGATGGGCATGGAAGAGGGTACTTGTTGGGATGAGCATTGGGTGTTATATGGAAACCAACTTGACAATAAACTATTTTTTAAAAAATATGTTGATTCGTTCTAAATGTATCCCTAAATTCAAAGCAACCCCATGCAAAACTGCTATTGCTTTTTTAAAAAGATATTTGTAAATTTATCCTAAAATTTAAAATGGACCTAAAAATGTCATTAACTTTTAAAAGGAAGCAGAAATAGAGGATAACTTGTACTTTGGGGTACCATAGAAGCCATAGTAGTGAAAACAATAAAGTAATAGGTGGTCAAAATATAGACCTATCTACACATGGGAACCAAATATGAACTAAGGGCAATACCCATATAAATGGCGGGTTTCAGGGATGGTGTGGTAGATGGCACTGGGAAAACTGGCTCACTACATGAAGAGAAATAGCTGGATTCTCACCTCACACCAAATTAAATGGCAACATTCAGAGAGATCAAAGACATACACATAACACATATTAAGTGAATAAAAGAAAGTGAAAGAGAGTATCTTCATGACTTAAGTGTGAGGAAGGTTTTCTTCAATAGAATTTCAAAAACACCTGCTATAAGGTAAAAATTTGATGAATATATATCTGCATAAAGATATTAATCCCTCACTGGTATTAAACATTGTAAATTCCTTCTTCTAGTTTGTCACCTATCAGCTATGTTCATGGTTTCCTACTGAAAAGAAATCATTAACTTTTATAAAATCGAATTCATCAAATTTTTATCTTATGACTTGAGTTTTTGAAACTTTGTTGGTGATATGTGTACATATGTACACATGTCCCCTTGAATCAATAAAAGAAAGATAACAACCTCATACTAAAAGTAGCCAAAGAACATGAACTGGCAATATTCAAAAGAGGAAGCCCCAAAAGTCATCTAGCATATGAAGATATGCCCAAACTTCTTAGTGTCCAGAGGAGGACAGACTGAAAGAACAATGAGCAATCACTCATCTCCATTGACAGGCTAACTCAGAATGCTGACTCATATGGGATGTAAGCATGTGGAAACTCCATGCACAGCCAATGGCAGGATGCTGACACTGCCCTTGGGGGAATCCCTCTACCCCCCATTACTGGTCTCCATGGACCAGCAATTCCCTTCCTGGGCATACATCTCAGAGAAATATCCACATAAAACTGGAAGGCAACACATTTGAAGCTATTCATTCAGCAATATATGTGGTGGTATGGAGTTAGAGGCAGGCTGGATGTCTGTTCCAAGAAGGTGGCTGGCTAAAATGGAGTACTTTGCAGCAAGGAGACACAGACCAGATGTGGTGGCAAGGATGGGTATTAAAACACAGTTATGAGAGAAAAAAGCAAGTAACAGCACAAGACTGTAAGCATAATTTATATAAACTAAAGTGTTTGTGCAGAAAACAGAAATTCACCTTTTGCAAGAATACATACAAAATAAAGCTACACATTAGACAGTTTGCTTTATGTGGGGAATGGAAGAAGGTATAGGGGAAAATATTTACCTAAAGGGCAACATGCCACTCTAGACCCAAGAGTCACAGTCTTTGAGGGTTGGTGCCAGGATCTAGATGATTCTGACGTGCAACCATAATTTCCAACAATGGTTTACAATATAATATAATATAATTATATTGTATTATACACCTCAGTAAAATATAAAGGTAAATAGAAAAGAAAAAAATAGAATGTAACTTCTATTAAGTGATATACATAAATCCACGCCATGTGCCTGTGGAAGAAACCAGAATGAAGCATGGTTGATTAGTCAAAGTGAGTGAGTGGGATGATGAGATGTAAAGTTGACAGTGGGAGAGAGACATGCTTCACTCACCAGCCTGGCCTTCAGCCCTTCTCCAGTCTGAAGTAGCCATGGAAAAATGGAATTAGAACACCAGGTCAGTACTGCTTTCCTGCTCACACATTGCATTTTGCACACACCCCTGCCCTTCTCCCTTTTCTCCTGACACCCACATGACTATAAGCATTCCAACCTGGGCATCATAGTTGGTTGAGATATGAGAAGAACATACATGGAAAATCAGATGCTAAAAGATAGACAAGAAGAAATAATCCAAAAGGGGTCACTTACCAAGTTCTGTCTGAAGCTTCCCTGTAAGTAAAACACACATAGAAAACATCAGTCTTTGGGTAAGAGGAACTACCTTCCCTAGGAAGTTAGGCCACTGGAAAGAGGTTTCTTAGTCTTAAGCCACCACTCACCATAACTCATTTTAGTCTCTGTAACATCAATCTGCAGAGTTCTTATGTCTCACCCTATTCCTTCCTCTAAGGCAGAAATCTGCACAAAGATGGAAAAGGAAAACAAGTCCTGATATTAAGAGGCTTATTTCCAGGGCTCATTTTTTATTTGAAAAACTACTGCTCATTTGCCCTGAAATCAGAAACTATTCCTAGGGAAGATGTCCTTCATAAGTCCAAGCACTGAGCCCAGCCTGCATGAGCCTCAGGGTCACTTACTGGGAACACTATTTAAAAGACTGAGAAGACAGACACGCTATGGAGGATTCCAGAGGACTATGTGCCACGTCCACTCAGACAAGAACCTGGTCTCCTCAGGACCCACGTGGAAGGAGCAGTTTGAGTGTTTATTGGATTTGTCTGTGCGTTTGTGTACCGTTGTTCCCTGTGTGTTTGTCTGTCTGTATTCTTTTCCAGGGCTACCTCAAGAAACAAGCCAAAGTACACATGGTGGAGAGTCCCAAATACCACTACAAGTAGGGAAACAAAATAACCAGTCTCAACAAGAGAAACCAAGAGACACCATTGAAAGAACGCTTCCTGAACAGACAGGCCTTGGACAGTCAAAGAGCCCTCTTTAATACACAACACCTGCAGGGGAAGAGTGCATAACAAGTTTTTATAATTAACAAGAGATAGAAAGCTAACCAAAATGATGAAATGGAAGAACTCTCCTCCAAAGAAATTCCAGGAAGAAATGACAGCTACAGAACTGCTCAAAACAGATATAAGCAACATAACTGAACAAGACTTTAGAACAATAGTCATAAGATTAATCGCTGGGCTTGAAAAAGGCATGGAAGACATCAGAGAAACTATTGCTACAAACACTATGGATACTATAAACTAAAAGTGCTATAAATGAGATACATAATAAAATGGAGGTATCCAATGCACGGATTAAAGTGGCAGAAAGGAGAACAAGTGATTTAAAAGAAACAATTACAGAAAGAGAGGAAGCTGAGAAAAAGAGAGATAAACTGATCCAGGAACATGAAAGGAGAATTCGAGAGCACAGCAGTACAATCAAACAGAACAATATTCGTATCATAGGAATTTCAAAAGAGGGAGAGAGAAGGAAAGGTGCTGAAGGAGTCCTGGAACAAATTACAGCAGAGAGCTCCTCCAACATGGGGAGGGAAGTAGACGTTGAAGTTTAAGAGGCACAGAGAACTGTCCTCAGATGTAACTTGAATCGAACTTCTGCACGACATATTATAGTGAAATTGGCAAAATATAAGGACAAAGAGAGAATTCTGAAAGCAGCGAGGGAGAAAAGGGCCCTAACATACAAAGGGAAATCTATCAGAGTGGTGACAGACCTATCTACTGAAACTTGGCAAGCCAGAAAGGAATGGCAGGAGACTTCAATGTGATGAACAGAAAAAATATGCAGCCAAGAATCCTCTATCCAGCAAGCCTGTCATTCAGAATAGAAGGAGAGATAAAAAGTCTTTCCAAATAAACAAAAATTGAAAGAATCTGTCACCACTAAACCATCCCTACAAGAAATCCTGAGAGGGTCTCTCTGAGGGAAATGTTGCAAGGAACGCAAGATACCAGATACAACACCACAAGCATGAATCCCCAAAACGACACAATGACTCTAAACTAATATGTTTCAATAACAACACTAAATGTAAAGGGGCTGAATACTCCAATGAAAAGACACGGGGTGGCAGAATGGATAAAAAAACAAAATCTATCTGTTTGCTGTCTACAAGAAACTCATTTTAGACTTGAGGACACCAGCAAATTGAAAGTAAGGGGATGGAGACATATCTATCATGCTACTGAAAATCAAAAGAAAGCTGGAGTAGCTATACTTATATAAGACAAACTGGACTTTGAAGTAAAGGCAGTAACAAGGGATGAAGACTGGCATTATATAATAATTATAGGGTCTATCCATCAGGAAGAACTAACAATTATAATTGTCTACACACCGAATATGGGAGCACTTAAATATATAAAATAATTAATCAAAAACAGAAACAGTCTTATGGGTAAGAATGTGCTAATAGCAGGGGACTTCAATACTACACTTACAGCAATGGATAGATCAACTAGACAGAAAATCACTAAAGAAACAATGGACTTGAATGACACATTGGACCAGATGGACTTGATAGATATATTTAGAACTCTACATCCTGAGGCCATGGAATTCACCTTCTTCTCAAGCGCGCATGGCACATTCTCCAAGGTAGATCACATAAAGCAGCCTTCATTAAATATAAAAGAATTGAGATCATACCATGCATATTTTCAGATCACAATGCTATGAAACTTGAAGTAAACCACAGAAGAAGAAGTCTGGAAAACCTCCAAAAACATGGACGTTAAAGAACACCCTACTAAAGAACGAATGGGCCAATCAGGCAATTAGAGAAGGAATTAAAAAATATATGGAAACAAATAAAAATGAAAATACAACAATCCAAATTCTATGGGATGCAGCGAAGGCAGTCCTAAGAGGAAAGTCCATTGCACTCCAGGTCTATTTCAAGAAATTAAAAAAGTGCAAGTGCAAATTCTAACAGCGCACATAAAGGAACTAGAGGCAGAGCAACAGGAGCACCCCAACTCAGGAGGAGAAGAGAAATAATAAAAATCAGGGCAGAAATAAACAATATAGAAACCAAAGAAACAGTTGAACAGATAATTGAAAACAAGAGTTGGTTTTTTGAAAAAATAAACAAAATTGACAAACCACTAGCCAGGCTTCTCAAAAAGAAAAGAGAGAGCACCCAAATAGACAAAATCATGAATGAAAATGGACTTATTACAAGCAACCACTCAAAAATACAAGCAATTATCAAGGAATACTATGAAAAATTATAAACCAACAAATTGGACAACATAGAAGAAATGGACAAATTCCTAAACATACACTCACTGCCACAATTCATACGGGAAGAAATAGAAAATCTGAACAGACCTATAAGCAGTGAAGAAATGGAATCTTCCCAAAAATCTTATCAAAAATCTCCCAACAAATAAGAGCCCTGGATCTGATGGCTTCCCTGGGGAATTCTACCAGATGTTTAAAACAGAATTAATACCAATTCTCTTCAAGCTATTCCAAAAAATAGAAATCGAAGGAAAACTCGTGGACTCATTTTATGAAGCCTGCATCACTCTGATTCCCAAGCCAGACAGAGATCCAGCAAAAAAAGAGAACTACAGGCCAATATCCTTCGTGAATACGGATGCGAAAATCCTCAACAAGATCCTTGCAAATCGAATCCAGCAGCACATAAAAAGAATCATTCACCAAGATCAAGTGGGATTCATTCCTGGGTTACAGGGCTGCTTCAACATTCACAAATCAATCAATGTGATACACCACTTCAACAAAAGAAAGATAAAAACCATATGATCCTGTCAATAGATGCAGAAAAAGCATTTGACAAAATACAGCATCCCTTCTTAATAAAGACTCTAGAGAAAGTCGGGATAGAAGGAACCTACTTAAACATCATAAAAGCCATCTATGAGAAGCCTTCAGCTAACATCATCCTCAACAGGGAAAAACGGAGAGCTTTCCCCCTGAGATCAGGAACACGGCAAGGATGTCCACTCTCACCACTGTTGTTTAACATAGTGCTGGAAGTCCTAGCATCAGCTATCAGATAACAAAAGGAAATCAAAGGCATCAGAATTGGCAAAGAGGAAGTCAAACTTTCACTTTTCGCAGACGACATGATACTTTGCATAGAAAACCTGATAGACTCCACCAGAAGCCTACTAGAAATGATCCAAGAATTCAGTAAAGTTCCAGAGTACAAAATAAACGTAAAGAACTCGGTTGCATACTTATACACCAATAATGAAGCAACAGAAAGAGAAATCAAGAGGCTGATCCCATTCACAATTGCACAAAAAACCATAAAATACCTAGGAATAAACCTAACCAAGGATACAAGAGGTCTGTATGTTGAAAACATTAGAAAACTTATGAAAGAAATTGAAGAAGGCACAAAGAAATGGAAAAACATTCTGTGCTCATGGATAGGAAGAATATATATGGTTAAATTGTCATTACTACCCAAAGCAATCTACACATTCAATGCAATTCCAATCAAAATTGCACCAGCATACTTCTCAAAACTAGAACAAACTATCCTAAAATTAGTATGGAAGCACCAAAGACCCCAAATAGCCAAAGTAATATTGAAGAATAAAACCAAAACAAGAGGTATCACCATCCCGGACTTTAGCCTCTACTACAAAGCTGTCATCATCAAGACAGTATGGTACTGGCAGAAAAACAGACACATAGACCAATGGAACAGAATTGAGAACTCAGAGCTGGACCCATAGGTATACAGTCAACTAATCTTTCACAAAGCAGGAAAGAATACCCAATGGAAAAAGGACAGCCTCTTTAACAGATGGTGCTGGGAGAACTGGACAGCAACAGGCATAAGATTGAAACAGGATAAATTTCTCACACCATACACCAAAATAAACTCAAAAGTGATAAAGGACCTGAACGTGAGAGGAAACAATCAACACCCTAGAGGAGAAAGCAGGAAATAACCTTGACCTCCACCGCAGCAATTTCTTACTTGACACATCCCTAAAAGCAAGGGAAACAAGAGCAAAAATAAACTATTGGGACCTCATCGAGATGAAAAGCTTCTGCACGGCAAAGGAAACAATCAATAAAACCAATAGGCAACCAAATGAATGGGAAAAGATAGTTGCAAATCACATATCAGATAAAGGGTTAATATCCAAAATCTATAAGGAACTCACCAAACTCCACACCCGAAAAACAAACCGCCCAGTTAAGAAATGGGCAGAAGATATGAACAGACACTTTTCCAAAGAGGACATCCAGATGGCCAACAGACACATGAAACGATGCTCAGCATCCCTCCTCATCAGGGAAATACAAATCAAAATCACACTTAGATACTACCTCATGCCAGTCACAGTGGCTAAAATGAGGAAATCAGAGGACTCTAGATGGTGGCGAGGATGTGGAGAAATGGGCACTCTCCTACACTGTTGGTGGGAATGTAAACTGGTACAGTCTCTCTGGAAAACAGTGTGGAGGTTCCTCAGGAAATTAACAATAGAACTCCCCTATGACCCAGCAATAGCACTGCTAGGAATTTATCCAAGGGATAGAGAAATGCTGATGCTTAGGAGCATATATACCACAATGTTCATAGCAGCCCTCTCAACAATAGCCAAAATATGGAAAGAGCCTAAGTGTCCATCAACGGACGAACGGACCAAGAAGATGTGGTTTATCTATACGATGGAATACTACATGGCAATGAGAAAATGAAATTTGGTCATGTGTAGCAACCTGGACGGACCTTGACGGTGTTATGCTGAGCACAATAAGTCAGGCAGAGAAGGACAGCTACCATATGATTGCACATATAGGAGGATTAGGAGGAATTTAAGGGAGGACCGTGGGGGAGAAGAAGGGGGAAAACGGGGTGAGAGGGAGGGAGGCAAACCATGAGAAACTCTTGAATGCTGAGAACAAACTAAGGGATGATGGGGTGGAGGGGAGGGGAAGGGGGGTGATGGGCATGGAGGAGGGCACTTGTAGGGATGAGCACTGGGTGTTATGGAAACCAACTTGACAATAAACTATTTGAAAAAAAAAGACAAAAAACTACTACAAAATAAATTAAAAAAAATAAAGAAGTAAATTCTCCTAGGAAAGGCAACTCTATATACTAATTTAGACCATGTTGTTAATTACTTATTATAGTTGCCCTTCCACAGGACTAGGTGGACTACAACACAAGATTCCCAAACTGATAATTTCGTCTGGAGTTTTATTACAACATGCAAGGTGGTTCTTGAGGTCTTCCTCCCCTCCCCTCACACCCATGGTGGCCTTCTCCTCCATTTCCCCTTCCTTTGAATTCACTCTCCCTTCCTCTGGTCAGGCACACAGCCCATGGTACTGAGTCCCCTGGGGAGAAAAGTGAACTTGATAAATTACTCACACTCCCATTCAAATTAAACGTGCCTCCCTTCCCAGTGGCATTTTCATTAGAAAGAGAAAGATATCTGAGGAAGATGAACGTTAAATGGTGGAAATGTAACCTAATCCCATAATTTTCAGAAGAGGGGCTGGCAGGGTTTGTCTGGGGGTCTGGTATCAGACCTACTTCACTGTTGCCATATGAGTTATTTGGGAGTGGAGAGGTGGGAGGCGCAGAAGGATAGATTTAGAATTAGATTGTTGCCATCCATCACTTTCCACAGGGAGCCAGAAACTACTGAACACCTTCCACCCCGCATGCATCGGGTTAGTCCACTAGTTGGTAATCTCACTGAGGGCGTGGTACCCAGAACTTACCCAGCTCTGCTGTGAGTCTCCCTGGAGAAGAAACGAAGAAAAAAGAAAAATCTCAATTGATGTACACTAAGGCTTCTCTTCCCTAAAGTGCACAGACACGGCCCAATGCGTTTTGAGGAACCAGGATGGACTACACACGAGGGAGGAGCGGGCTCCGTGGCAGGGGAAGTGGGAAAGCAAACATCTGTCACGGCGTTTCTGTCTCGATTCCAAGCGCCCCGGGTTTGAAGTACTCGCCTTCCTGAACCAGCAAATTCCCCTTCTCCCCACCACCTTCTGTTAGGGGTGTGGGCAAAGAGCAAGCCTCTTTCCTTGCTTACCTTTGTCCTTCTCAGCCTGCTCCTTCAACTTTTCTGAATGGAGGAAGGAAGGGGAGTGCACTTGAGGGTGCACACTCACCTGCTATTTCCATGTGCCACCCCAGACTCGCGTTTCCGCAAGACCGCACCTGTGCGGTGCCCTCTCCGCGGGCCTCCTCCACCACTTCCCAGCAAAGCCTGCACCTGATGGGAGGCCCCCCAGCCTGCCCCGTACCTTGGGACCTCCGTTGCTTCTGAAAGAAGTACAGCGCCAGCGTTGAAAGGAGAGCCAGGAGGAGTGGCAGTCCCACCAGAGCCCCGAAGAAAGCTCTTTTCCAGGGAGAGGTTCCGGGTAAAAATGCGTCTGGAAAACACCCCAGAGGGAGTTGTTTCTCTTTAGGCACCACTAAACGCTAAGTGAGAAGACTATTCTGGACCCAGAGTGCCGGAATCCTTCCAAGTTGGCAGGCCTTAAATCTTCTGGGCAACGCCATCGCAATCTGTAAAATGGGCATGAGAGCTGCCGCTCACTATGCTCTTCTCTGGGTAGGACCCTGAGGAATAGTGGCAAGCTCGAACTTGCTTAGCGGAAAAGGGAAATGGAAGGATGTGGAAGGGAGGGGCTGATGGACCCCACGTACTCCCCCAGCTTAGAATTTTTGTGACCATGGCTCTGTCTTCTCTCTACTCCCCACAATTGCCCTATATCTGAAGAACACGAAAATCCAAGGTGTTGGTATCTGAAAAACATTGAAATATTGCTCTCTGCCGCTAGGGTCACCTCCACAAGTCATTTCATTTTGCTAGCTTCTTACCAACACTTGCTGTAACTTCTCATTACACCTCCTGAAGAATTGTTAGCCAAAGCACTAAAGGGTTGACTGCCAGCTCCCCCTTGTCCTCCCCAGGCTCACTAAGGAGGTTCTGCCCTGAAGTAAGACGTGGCCCAGGCCCACGCAGATGGTAAAGAGATGCAAAATGGAAGGTAACCCTTTAGAAATTCTTGTGGCAATTTAATGGAATAATTTGGTGTCTGTTAAAGATAATAATTTTTCAAGTGATGGTTTTAGTTCAGTGGTCTTTTTAAAAATACATTTTTCTTTTTTTAATTGTGGTAAAATATATAACATAAAATGTACCATCTTAACCATTTTTAAGGGTACAATTCCGTGGCATTAAGTTACTTTCACATTGTTCATCATCACCATCCCAAAGTGAAATTCTACCCACTAAACAGTAACTCCCCATTTTCCAGCCACCCTGAGTGGGGGAGGGGTGGAGAGAGAGGGAGACACAGAATATGAAGCAGGCTCCAGGCTCTGAGATGTCAGCACAGAGCTTGATGTGGGGCTTGAATCCACAGGCCCTGAGGTCATGACCTGAGCCGAAGTCATGCTTGACAGATTGAGTCACCCAGGGGCCCAAATTTTGCAAATTTAATTACAGTATTTCTTGATGTGGATTTGCTTTTGTTAATTTTGATGGGAGTTGTCTGTACCTCCTGAATCTGGATATCTGTTTCCTTCCCCATACTAGGGACATTTTCAGCTATTATTTCTACAAATAAATTTTCTGCCCCCCTTTCTCTTACTTCTTCTGGGACTCCTATAATATGAATGATATTACATTTCATGGAATTACTGAGTTCCCTAAGTCTATTCTCATTTTGCATAATTCTTTCCTGTCTCTTTTGTTCATCATGATTGCTCTCCATTACTGTCCTGTAGGTCATTAATACATTCCTCTGCTTCTTACAGCCTGCTATTCATTCATTCAAGCATGTTTTCATTTAATTTATTGTGACCTTTATCTCTGTTATATTTTTCCTTATGTCTCTGTTAAGGGTCTTAGTAATGTCCTCCAGTCTTTTCTCAAGTCCAGTGATTATCCTTATGATTATTGCTTTAATTTATCCATCAGGTATGTTACTTATTTCTGTTTCATTTAGATCTCTTTGTGATAATTTTCTCCGTCATTTTGTCTGCTTCTCTGTGTTAGGAAAGTTAGTTATGTTTTCTGCTTTTGAAAATGACTTTATGAAAAGTAGATCCTAGAAGTGCCCTGCAGTACAGTGTCCCCTGTTTATCAGGAACAGGAACTTCAGAAAGCTGCCCTACATGTTTTGCTTTTGCCTTGTTGTTACATTTGAGTCAGTTTTCTTTTCAATGTAGTTGTCTGCCCTCACTCTTTTCCTGTTGTGGGCTCTGCTTGCTCTCTGTGATGTTAGTGGGACCTAGGCATGCTAGTTGTGATGGACACTTATGAGTGTGGTGGGGTTGTTAGCAATATTTGCCTTGGGCACTTCTCCTATGCCAGATTCCTGAAGCACTTTGACAACTGGAGGATTGCACAAGGCTGATAGGGGAATGAGGCTGGTCATAGCACTCAATGGTGGCTGAGTGTGGCTGGGTCTGACACGTGATGGTGGCTGGTGGTGCATGGCTGGGCACTGCACTGCAGCTGAGCAGGATATGCTGTGGAACCGTGCACCTGTCAGCTGGGTGGGATGCATGTGCAGCTTTAGCAAATTTCTCCCTGAACTCTGGGTCAAGACTACAAGTATCTGTGCAGCCCCAACTCCCACAAATGGCTCTGTGTTAATGCTGGGAGATGGAGGAGGAAAATGTGCCTGCTAGCTCCCTAATTTTTAGAGAATTCCATCGATACTCTCTGAAATCACTACAAACAGATATGACTCCTGTTTACCCCAGCTTTGTGTAAACTGCCTTTTTAAATTATTGCTTCTGTACTGATGGGTGTGGGGGGGGAGGAGAGAGATGGGCATGGAGGAGGGCACTTTTGGGGATGAGCACTGGGTGTTATATGGAAACCAACTTGACAGTAAACTATTTGTAAAAAAATATAATAAAGGTAAATTCTGGCTGCAAAAAAAAAATTTCTTCTGTGTGCAGGCTGCTGTCTTTTTAAGTGACCCAGCTGTCACACACACTCCCAGCTCACCCAGTGCTGAATCAGCTGACTTTTAAAGCTTCAGGCTCCAAGTCCCACTGTTTTTACAAACTCACAGAATTCAGCCCCTCCAGTTTTTTTTTAACATTAACAAAATGTTTTAATTGTTTTTTTTTACAGGTTTATAGGGATTATTTATTTATTTATTTAAGGTTTAATTTTTTTTTACAAATAGTTTATTGTCAAATTAGTTTCCACATAACACCCAATGCTCATCCCCACAAGTCCCCTCTTCCATGCCCATCCCCCCTTCCCCCAAAATCCATCAGTTCTCAGTTTTTGTCAGCATTCAAGAGTCTCTCATGGTTTGCCTCTCTCCCTTTCCCCCACCATTTCCCCCCTTCTTCTCCCCCTTGGTCCTCTGTTAAGTTCCTCCTAATCCTCCTATACGTGCAAACATATGACATTTGTCCTTCTCTGCCTGACTTATTTCACTCAGCATAATACCCTCAAGGTCCATCCATGTTGCTACACATGGCCAGATTTCATTGTTTCTCATTGCCATGTAGTATTCCATGGTATAAATAAA